TTGTAACTCAAGGTGGCAGCACACTCATTAACCTGAATCCCTGCATACTTAAGCTGGCAAGGAGTGCATGTAGAAAGAATGAAAATTATCTTCCCAACTCATTGATTATCTAATTGTATAGTAACAATGCGACTGTTCTCCATAGTATATTCCAAAAGATAAAATCTGCCAAATTTAAGTGAAGTTGTTACTGATAAACAGTGACCTGTTTTAAGCACTGTTCTGGGCAAGTTTATATACATTATCTTAGCAGTTACAGCTACAAATATTTTCTTACATGCCACTATCAATGTTACAAACATTATCTGTGCTGGCACTATTTATTCCCAAAGCTCAGAGTGGATGGAACTTCACAGAGAGAACAGATTTGTGTTCTCAGTGTCTAAAGCACGTTAATGGTCAATAAACATCAATGAAGTACAAATTTGGTAGATTTAATCTTTTGGAATACAGTATGTGCAAAATTTATTTATGATCTGCAATCCTCCCTTTCAGGAGTGGGTCTTATTTTAAAAGAAGCAGAAAACTGAGTCTGGGTAATAAATGAAATTGTTAGGATTCCAGAATAAGTCTGTTATGCCATGAATAGGCACAAACATTTCTTGCAGCTAAAACTGTTTCTTTGGATGTGAAGTCAAAGCTGGGACTACGTGCCAAGCCACTGACAAATAAACCTCAAATTGTATGCTGCCACTTATCCTCTTAGAAGCCTTCTGGGAAAATTAATAAATTTACCTAAGAATTGGTTGAACAAAGTCAATTTTCCCTGAGCTGTTTGATTGCTCACTGTTGTATGGATTATAGGTTCCTGGAGAGGGGTCACAGTCGGCAGTGCAGCAGATGGACCAGCAAACACGGAGGCCTCATAATATAGCAGGAAAAGAAAATCACTCTACATAAAGGATTAAGGTTTTAATTGGTTTTCTCAAGGCTCTTGCAGACTCTATTGAGGAGCTAATTTTGAATTTTAAAGAAATATTTGATGAGTGTAGTCATGGCCATTTAGGGTTCTCTATTTTACATTCATAAATATTTATTAGGCTCATTACCAGGATCTAAGAAGCAGACTAATAAATATTTGCCAAGAACAGCCGGCTATTAGACTTCTTTGCTTAGTGCTTCTGACTGTGTTAATTTTGGCTGTGGATGTGCCAATTACTATGCATGCATAGGGACTTTAAACTCGAAAGGGGTAGAAGTGCCAGAGTAGCAGGAGTTATTTAAAAAATTAACAACAACAACAACAAAAAGGACAGGAAGAAAAGGACAGGCTAGTGGGAAGCAGTGGCTCAACTCTCCCTCTTCTAGGCAACCTCTTTCCTCTGCTCAGACAGTCTCCCCTCTGCAGATTTGATTCATCTCCCCTGAACTAGTGAAAAAAAAATACAAAGAAGCAGGGACTTCGAAGAACTCTTGGGTGGCTCAATGGCTGAGTGGTATGGGCAATGAGTGGGTTTGCTCACTGGCTGTTTTCTATAGTAAGCCCATCACCCATGTATGACACATAGTGTCTCAGTTAGGACTTCCATTGCTGCAAAGAGACATCATGACCATGGCAACTCTTTTTAAGGAAAATATTTAATTGGGGCTGGCTTACGATTTCCAAGGTTTAGTCCATTATCAGCATGGTGGGACACAGCAGCAGGCAAGCAGGGATGATGCTGGAGAAAGAGTTGAGAGTTCTACATCTTGATACACATTAGGCATAGATTGAACATGTAGACCTCAAAGCCCACCCTCACAGTGACACACTTCCTCCAGCAAGGTCATACCTCCTAATAGTGCCGCTCCCTATAGGCCAAGCATTCAAGCACATGAGTCCATGGGGGTCATTCCTTAATATATATATATACATATATATATATATGTATATATATATAAAATTATTATAAAGGGCGATGCCTTCCATTGGGATCTTCAAGTCTGTCATATCATTTGGAGCAGGGCCTAGCCCCTCTCCCATGTGTCTAGGCTGAGAGAGTGTCTCTCTATGTGGAGTGGGCTCCCAAAGTCCATTTGTGTACTAGGGATAAATACTGATCCACTACCAGAGGCCCCATAGATTGCTCAGACCTCCAAACTGACATCCTTGTTCAAGGGGTCTGGTTTCCCAGCAATCAGTCTGGGGTCCATGAGCAACCCTTGCTCAGGTCAGCTGTTTCTTTGGGTTTCTCCAACCTGGTCTTGACCCCTTTGTTCATCATTCCTCCCTCTCTGAAACTGGATTCTAGAGTCCAGCTCAGTGTGTAGCTGTGGGTGTCTGCTTCTGCTTCCATCAGCTACTGGATGAAGGCTCTAGGATGGCATATAAGATAGTCCTACATCTCATTATCAGAGAAGGGCATTTAAGGTAGCCTCTTGACTATTGCTTAGATAGTTAATTGGGGCCATCCTTGTAGATCTCTGGACATTTCCCTAGTGCCAGATTTCTCTTTAAACCTATAATGGCTCCCTCTATTATTAATCTCTTTTCTTGCTCTCCTCTATTCTTCCCCTGACTAAATCTTCCTGCTCTCTCATGTCCTCCTGTCCCCTCCTCTTCTCCCCTTCTCTTTCTTCTAGCGCCTTCTCCTCTCTCCCCATGCTCCCAATTAGCTCAGGAGATCTTGTCCCTTTTCCCATGTATGTCTCTCTAGGGTCCTCCTTGTTTCCTAGCATCTCTGGCAGTGTGGATTGTAGGCTGGTAATCCTTTGCTCTATGTCTAAAATCCATATATGAGTTAGTCCATAACATGGTTGAACAGATGTCTTTGTTGTATGAATGTGCTTCTTTTGGGTATATGCCTAATAGTGTAATTGATCGATCTTGTGGTAGACTGATTTCCATTTTCCTGAGGACCTGCCATACTGATTTCCAAAGTGGTTGTATAAGTTGGACTCCCACCAGCAGTGAAGGAGTGTTCCCATGGGGTCATTCCTATTCAAACCACCACAAGTAGTAACTGTGTGAGCTGGATGTAGTGAGTTGGCCAACTGCATGATTTTGATTAGTGTTCCTGGTTGCAAGACCCTAAGTCTAGTCCACTACCCCAATTCATTCTTTGGATTCTGGGATCTACTAAAATTATATTCACAATTTTTCCTGCTAATTAAAACAGGGTCCCTTTCTATCACTTGTAAATAAGAACACGGATGATGGAATAACTAATTGAAATTTTAAGAAGCCTTGTTTTAGAATTGACACACTGGCTGCACCTTAATGTACTGCTATTTCAGCCAGCAATTGCAACTCCACAGATACCAGCCTGCCACACAACTCCACAGATAGCAGCTGCCGGTCCACTCGTCTACTCAGGGCACAGCCTGGTGGGAATTCTGCTCCTGAAAGTATGCACGCTGTTGCTGCCTCTACAGGTAGCTTTAACTAAATCTCTGTCATTCTATTTATGAATAAGATTCAAGATTCGGCTGGGCATTGGTGGCACATGCCTTTAATTCCAGCACTCGGGAAGCAGAGGCAGGCGGATCTCTGTGAGTTCGAGGCCAGTCTGGTCTACAGAGCCAGTGCCTGGATAGGCTCCAAAGCTACACAGAGAAACCCTGTCTTGAAAAACAAAAACAAAAACAACAACAACAAAAAAAAAAGACTCAAGATTCAAAAGCTGGGGTGAAAACCGGAAAGGTCAGAGAGGTTATCTAGAAGCTGAGTAGCAACTAACTAACTCTCTCCTTGCTGGTGTCCATGAAAGACTCATGCTTCTGCTTGGCTAAATTAGAAAAGGCTGTGCCACTCCAAACCCCACCCTTCTACTTCCTGTGTAGGGCATCCCAATCTCTCTGGGATGCCTTCTGAGACTCTATGATTACTTTCTGTCAACTAGTTTCTAATGCAGCATCCTGACCCAAGGTTAATTTTATTCAATTAACACAAGTGTAAACTTGGGGTTCACAGTATGGTCAAATGTCCCCCAATAAAGCCTATTTTAGGTCCAATTAAAAGAAATCTCACAAACTATATTTGGTGTGTTAATACCTGTAGGGGAAATGTTGGGGCTGGCACAGGTGATGCAGACCACGCATACTAGGTCATGGTCAGTGCTGTAGCAAGACCTTAAATATGATGGTCGCTTGCAGGCCACTCTCTCTATTCCATGGTTTGCCTGGTTGTAGGGGACTGACTCTGTTGTGTGAATGCTCTCCTATTAAAACATCTGTTCCTCAAACTTGCTCTGACTCCCAACCCCCACTAGTAATTGAAGCAATGTCTTTTTGAAATAGCATGTTATTTTTGTCATCATGTTTTACAAATGCTATATAGTTTGGAAAGCAGGGGTTAATTTAAGGTCTTTCCCCCAACTTTGGTTTTAGAACAGGTTGGCCTCAATCTTGTTGTGTAGCCAGAATGACCCTGACTTTCTGATTCTCTTACCTCCACTTCTCAAGTGCCTTTCTTATAGGCATATAGTCCACTCCAAACTTTAGTTTAAGATATTATAAAATTCACAGTACAGTACCCCTGACAATCTGGCAGGAAAATACTTATTCCATACTGCTGAGAATAATAGTGCAGCTCAGGGAGAAAAATATTCTTGAAGGGAGGCAAAAGAGCTGTGGTAATTTGAATGTAATGGCCTTTACAAATCCAAAGGGAGTGGCACTATTAGGAGGTGTGGCCTTGTTGGAGAAAATGCATCACTGTGGGGGTGGGCTTTGAGGTCTCTTTTGCTCAAGCTACTTCCAGTGTCACAGTTCACTTTCTGTTGCCTGTGGATCAAGATGTTGAACTCCCAGCTCCTTCTCCAGCACCTTGGCTGCCTGCATGCTGTCATATCCCACCATGATGATAATAGATTAAACCTCTGAACTGCAAGACAGGGCAATTAATAGTTTTTCTTTGTAAGAGTTGCCATGGTTGTAGTGTCTCTTCACAGCAATAGAAACCCTAACTAAGACAGGAACCTTTTCCCTTTTCTTTCTTGATACTCTCACAGATCAGCAAATGCTTACAAATGTTTACAGCACCTTAGAGACACTCAAAGGAGTATGAAGCAGTTCGCAGCCTCTCGCTTGCCGAGCTCCAGCCGAAGGAGAAGGTGGGTAAGTAAGGAGGTGCTCTTACTATGGCTAGTACAAAGCAGACTGCCCGCAAATCCACCGGTGGTAAAGCACCCAGGAAACAACTGGCTACAAAAGCTGCTCGCAAGAGTGCATCCTCTACTGGAGGGACAAAAAATCCTCATCATTACAGGCCTGGTACTGTGGCACTCTGTGATATCAGACGCTATCAGAAATCCACTGAACTTCTGATTCGCAAGCTCCCCTTCCAGCGTCTGGTTCGAGAAATTGCTCAGGACTTCAAAACAGATCTGTGCTTCCAGAGTGCAGCTATTGGTGCTTTGCAGGAGGCAAGTAAAGCCTATATGGTTGGCCTTTTTGAAGATACCAACCTGTGTGCTATCCACGCCGAACGTGTAACAATTATGCCAAAAGATATCCAGCTAGCATGCCACATACACGGAGAAGGTGCTTAAAAGTCCACTATGAGGGGAAACACTTCATTTTCAAATTTTTTTTCCTCTTCCTGTTATCAGTAGTTCTGAATGTTAGATATTTTTTCCATGGGGTCAAAAGGTACCTAAGTATATGATTGCGAGTGGAAAAATAGGGGACAGAAATCAGGTATTGGCAGTTTTTCCATTTTCATTTGTGTGTGAATTTTTGATATAAAATGCAAGATGTAAAGCATTAATGCAAGCAAAATGTTTCAGTGAACACATTTCAACAGTTCAACTTTATAACAATTATAAATAAACCTGTTAAAATTTTCTGGATTTGGATTTTTTTAAAATAAGGAAATTTCTTTTTGACGGCAACTAAATGGTGTTTGTAGCATTTTTATCATACAGTAGATTCCATCCATTCACTATACTTTTCTAACTGAGTTGTCCTACATGCAAGTACATGTTTTTAATGTTGGCTGTCTTCTGTGCTGTTCCTGTAAGTTTGCTATTAAAATACATTAAACTATAAAAAAAGAAGTATGGATCATATAACTACCCTTAAAAGAGATGCATTCATTCACTGTTCAAATGGTTTCCACTGAGCCTTTTAGATTTGAAGATGTGTAAAGTGTAGCCCCCATCCCCTGCATAGGTAAAGTCATTTACAGTTCATCTGACTAAAGTCCTTCATGATATCCAGATTTAGTTATGCATTAGTTTATATACTTATTCCTAATTGCCACACCCCTGGGGCTGTTATTTTATTGGAATACTTTTTATTATATTGCGTCTAGAGAAATGAGCAGTATATGATGAGGATGTTATAAATAAACAGATTGGAGAAAGACATGCTTCTCACGGTGACAGATGCTGGTACATTAACTAGAAGAATGCACTTAAAATTACAACCCAATTGTTTGTAAAGTGAAAATTGTGAGATTATGCCTTTAAAATGCAGAGATTATTTATATACTTCAAAAACAAAATACAATTTCCTAATCAGAATGGCTTTCATCAAGAAAACAATATAAAGTGCTGACAAGTATGTGAAAAAAAAGGAACCCAAAACACTACTTCTGGGAATGTAAACTAGTACAGATGCTGTGGAAGTCATTTGGAGGCTCCTTAAAAAAATCAAAAAGAAAAAGAAAATAGATCTATCACCCAGAGTATGTACCTGAAGGAATCAAAGTTGGGAAGTTTTGAGACTTGCATTCCTATGTTTATTGTAGCACTAGTCACAAATCAGTGGTAGAATCAGTTTAGATGCCCATCTATGGATGAATGTATAGAGAAAATGTATGTATATACAATAGACAATTACTTAGCCATTTAGAAGAAAATAATGCTACTTGTAGGAAAATGGGCAAAACCTAGATATTATCATGTTAAGTAAAATAAGTTGGACCCAGAATGACAAAGATGTAATGTTTTCTCATATTGGAAGATTATTAGGAACAACAAGGGACCAGTAGGGAGGGGAGGGGTGTGTAATAGAAATAGATATACCCATGAATGAAAATGTCATAATAAAATCCATTATTTGGTGGTTTGAATGAGAATGATCTCCACAGGCTCATATAACTGAATGCTTGGTCCCTAGTTGGTGGAACTGTTTGGGTGATATAAGGAGATGTGGCCTTGTTGGAGGAAGTGTTACTGAGGGTGGCTTTTGAGGTTTCAAAAGCCCATGCCACATTTGCTCTCTCTCTCTCTCTCTCTCTCTCTCTCTCTCTCTCTCTCTCTCTCTCTCTCTCTCTGCCTCCTGCTTATGTATTAAGATATAAGCTCTCAGCTACTGTTCCAGTGTCTGCCTGCCCGCCTGCCTGCTGCCATGCTCCCTGTCAGGATGGTCATGGAATCATGTTCTGAAAATGTAAGTCCCAAGTAAATTCTTTCTTCTTTAAATTGATTTGGTCATGGTGTCTTACCAGAACAATAGAAAAGTAACTAAGAGGTTGCAGCAATAATATATGCTAATAAAAGTAAAACATGATATATTTGAGTTGAATGGCCATGCCAGGATTCTACTGCTTATAGGGAAGTAGAAGATTTCCAGAAATAAAAACTTTTTAAGGACTGTCATCTAGGTTGTATTAACTGTAAGAATGTGAGAGCACTGTAGGAAAAATTTAGGGAGGGGTTGGAGTGATAGCTTAGTAGTTGAGAGTACTGGCTACTCTTCCAAGGGGCCTGAATTCTATTCCCAGCACCCACATGGCACCTCACAACTATCTTCAACTACATTTCCAGGTGACCTGATATCCTCTTCTGGCTTCCACAGGCATCAGGCATGCACATAATGTAGATATACATACAAGCTCATATACATAAAATAAAATAAATCTTAAAAAAGTAAGTCTATATGTATTGGATAGAGGATATATGAGGATAAATGAAAGATAAAAATCCCTCCCCAATATTAAAAATAAAAAGAACTTAGTGGAAAATATGAAGCCTAAAGTTAATTATCTTTGTATTTTCTCCATTACCTAGACAACAGCAGAGATAACACTATACCTGTAATTTAATCCTCCACCTGTTATCAAGGACACGATACAAAATATAATCCAGCTGGAAACCATCAAGCTTCAGATTACAAATTGGCTGGGTTCAAATTATAATATGGAATGTTTGGCTGAAGAAATGCTCAGTAGTTAAGAGCACTTGCCTCTCGTTCAGAAGTCGAAAGTTTGGTTAGTGGTTCCCATGGTGAGGGGAGCTCACAGTTGCCTGTAACTCAAGTTCCAGGGCATTCAACACCCTCTTCTGGCCTCTGCAGGAAGGTTCTCCCACAATGTAATACATATGTGTGTATACATATATGTATCATAATATATCATATATATTTTATATGCAAATATATGTATGAACTCCCCAAACAAAAATCTTTGTAATTTATCAACCTGAAGGGAAGTTAAAAGCAATTAAGCAGTCAGGTGGTGGTGGCACATACTTTTAATCCCAGCACTTGGTAGGCAGAGACAGGGGGAATCTTTGTAAGTTTAAGTCCAGCCTGGTCTGGTCTACAGAGTGAGAGAGTTCCAGGACAGCCAGGGCTAAGCTGAGAAACCCTGACTTGAAAAACCAAAAAGTAAACAAACAAACAAAAAACAACACACCAACCAACCAAACAAACAAACAAAAAGCAACCAAACAAAATTGATGGGGAATGTACTGTGTATGTTTATCTTATTGATTGTTAAATAAAATACTGTTTGGCCAAAGAAAAAGTAAATTAGGCAGGACTAGGAGTCAAAGAGGATTCTGGGAAATGTAGTAGAGAAGTGCTGATCCAGGCAGGAAGTGACATAGCAAGGAGACTCATATTTAAGCAAAGGAGAAACAGGAAGGGCCCTCTTTTCCCCTCCGCTCCTGCTCCAGCGGCACGATGTGATCCACTGGCCAGGAGGGACGCCAACAAGGTGTCCGATAAGATAAGTCTTATAACATATATAGATTTATGATAATTAAGACTTGAGCTAGTGGATGAGAATCCTAGTCATTGGCCAAGCAGCTTTGAACCTAATACAAGTTTCTGTGTATTCATTTGGGCCTAACTCGGGCAGGCGGCTGGCATAAAGCACACACGTGGCGGTGAGGCTCAGGCAGCTTTTGGCAGAAATATTTATCATAGCACAAAATGCACAACAAAACAAAAACATGTCTTAAGAACCAAGTCTGGAGCTGATCCCTCTCTAGGCACCCTACCTTAGCTAAGTAACAGATTTCACCTGATAAATGGAGATTAATGTCCTCCTCTAAGGCAGTTATAAAGTGAAATCAAACGCTGTATGAAAGATGTCTAACGTGTACTAGGCAACTCAATATTTCTTCCTTATCTTTTTCCCCCCACTGAGGAGCTTAAGACCCAATTAGGAAGATAAGCTATTAATCTACAAAGAGGCAATGAAAAATCCAAGAGTAAAGCCACAATTCCGATGTCCTGAGGTGGCTTGAGAAGAGGATGTCTGAGTTATTTCAGCTCTGAATGCTGGTGATTCCATGTGAGGAGCTTCACCAGCCAGCACATGCTGAATTGGCAATGGGTACCTGCAGAGAGTAAGTGTTGCAGAGGTTGAAGAGGTGTGGGCTGCCTTGGGCTGCAATTGTTTATAAAGCTCATTTTTTAAAACTCTGAGCTATATGAGCTGCAACAAAAGCTGGTTCAGTTAAGACCATGTCTTAGTTAGGGTTTCTATATCTGTGGCAAAGCACCATGGCCAAAGCAACTTGAGGAGGAACTCAAGAAGGGCAGGAACCTGGAGGCAGGAGCCATGGAGAAGTGCTGCTGACTGGCTTGCTCCCCATGACTTGCTCAGCCTGCTTTCTCATAGAACCCAGGACTGCCAACCCAGGGGTTGCACCACCCACAATGGGCTGGGCCCTCCCCCATTGAACACTAACCATTTAAGAAAATTCCTTACTGATGATCTTATGGAAACATCTTCTTAAGGTTTCCTCCTTTCAGATAACTACAGCTTGTGTCAAGTTCACATAGAACTAGCAGGGCAGAGAGTGACTGACATAAGTCTGATGATAAAAATAAACTCAGTTTTTTCAATTAAAGAAGTTGAAATGGAATGTTTTGCCTGAATTTGTGTTTCTTATTCTCCTCCAGTGTTTTGAAATTTTATTATAGGATCTGAAGAGATGACTTGCTGGTTAAGAGCACTTACTGTTCTTGTAGAAGATGTGGATTGATTTCCAGCACCCACATGATTGCTTAGAACGATCAGTAACTCCAGTTCCAGGGGATCTGATGTCTTCATCTGACTACAGAGGGCCGTAGGTGTATACACATAACTTACAGACAAAATACTTATATACATAAAATAAAATACTTATAATATAAAATAAAAACAAATGCCTTTACAAAGGATGGCAGGAAAACACAAAATACTGATTGGAGAAGACCTGAAGGAAAAAGCAATATTTGAAATTGTGTTTCCGAAACACATAAAGAATATTGGGCAAGTATAATGTGATTTATCCCATGACAGGTATAATACAGGCAAAGCACAGTAGCT